TATTACAGGTTGAGTATCCCATACCTATAGTGTTTGGGACCAGTTTATTTCACATTTACTTAGAGCTGGGAGTGGTGGCACATGCCTATAATCCCAACACTCAGGAGGCTAAAGCACGAGGATCGCCATGAGTTCCAGGTGGGCCAGCCTGGTCTACAAAGTGAGTTCAAGGTCAGTCTGAACTGCATAGTGAGACCCTGTCTCAAAAAAGAAAAAAAAAAAAAAAATTTACTGTTTTTGAGATAGGGTCTTGCTAGGAATTCAGGCTGACCTTGAGCACACTATTTGGTCCAGGCTGGCCCACCTGGAATTCATGGTAATCCTCCTGCATTAGCCTTCTGAGTGCTGGGATTACAGGTGTGTGCCACTATACTTGTAATATTTACATTTATATAATTAGATTTCGTGGGGATGGGACCCAAGTCTAAACACAAAATTCATTTATGTTTCATATACGCCTCATAAGCATAGCCTAAAGGTATATTTATAAAATGTTTTTAATAATTTTGTGCATGAAACCAACTTTATGCACATGAACTACCCATAGTCAGGTGTGGAAATTTTCACTTGTGCAACATGGGCCCTCAAAAGGTTTCAGGCTTCAAAGCATTTCAAATTTTTTGGAATAGGAGTGTTCAACCCATAGTCCGTAATGGGCATGTCAAATGTTCAGAGTTGGGGAGGTGGGGTGTCCTGTGGATTCTTATCTCTTATACCTTCACATTTCCTTGGTTACTTCTTCTATTATCGCTCCTGGACACCATCACTCTCATTACCTCAGCTAGATTTTCTAACTTGGATCCTAGGGTATTATAGAGGGCTGCGAGAATAAAGGTTTCCATGATAAACAGCTTGGGAAAAGTTTCATTCTAAATTCCCCAAGAAGTTCACGACCAAATCCGTGGACTGCAGCTTGCTGTGAATCATGTGGAAAGGAAGCCTGTTTAACATCACTTCATGGTTAAATGAACAAGCATTTGCTCAGAAGAGGCCTTCGTGTTTGGGCACATGCTTTGTTCTCGTCCAGGGGCTCATCCCTAGCCTCAAGCTGTCCTGGTGAAGACACTCCTGAAGACGGTTGTTCTCCAACTTCCTCCTCGCCTTCTGCAACTCACAGGTGGAGAGGATCATCAATTCGATCTGGCAGGAATTGCATATCTAAGTTTTTTATCGTAGATCTGTGCTGCCCTATCTTATAGCCAGGAGCTGTCTGTAGCTATTTATATTTAAATTAAAACTACAGCTGATTTACAATAATTCAACTTACAATTTTTTGATGGTGCAAAAAATATACCCGTATAATTGTTATAGGCATCTGAGTTAAATAGAAATATTATAGGCAGTCAGACAGGCCAGGCCCTAGAAAGAACCAACCTGAAAGACAAGATAAGATTCGTATTTGCTGTGGCTAGGCATCAAGACAAAGGACTAAATAGATATTCTAAATAGGTAGCCATCACCTTGAAGAGCCCCTGACCCAACCCTTTACAGGAAAAGCCCCTGCCTTGGGCCCACCTCACCTCGTGGTTTTGTTCTATAAAAGTCCCTGGGAAAGACAGAGTCCCAGGGTAATCCACTCGGGCCCCGCTTCTGTTCCTCTGTTGGACAGAAGCTTTCTTTCTCTCAATAAATATATTCTGCTCTTAACCTCTGTTGTTCCTAAAATTCATTCTTTGATTTTAGAGAACACGAACTTGTCCCAGGTTGGGAGTTTTTATTTTCCTGTATCATAATCATTCTACTTTTCTTTTCTTTCTTTCTTTCTTTCTTTTTTTTTCTCTTTTTGAAACGCGGTCTCATTATGCAGTTCAGGCTGGCCTTGAAATCACTTTGTAGCCCAGGCTGGCCTCTAACTCTCAATGGTCCTGCTATCTCAGCCTCCTGAGTGCTGGGATTATAGGCATGCACCACCATGCCCTGCTAATCATTCTATTTTTCACTTTCAGTACAGTGTGCAATAAATTTCATGAGATATTCAACACTTTATCATAAAATAGGTTTTATGTTAGGTGATTTTGCCCAATTATAGGCTAGTATAAGTGTTCCAAGCATGTTTAATGTAGTCTGGCCTAAACTGTCATTTTCTGTAAGTTAGAACATTAATGCATTTTTTACTTGCAATATTATCAATTTGCAATGGGTTTATCAGGACTAAACCCCACTGTAAGTTGATAAGCATCAATGTTTGATTTTAAATAACATTAAAATTTTAGTTGTTAATCTGCACCAGCTACATTTCAAGCACTCAAATCAACCTATAGCTGTAGGCCACCATATTGCACAGAACAGATACGGAACATTTCTGATGTCGCAGAAATTTCTATTGAACAACACCACAGTAAATCCTATCCACCATGCAGTGAACCCTTTCAGCTTCCTTATCTTCCCCTCTTCTACATCCCCAAGGGACAGTGAGCTCCACTAAAAGTTGTAAGCTCTGAACCCTGGCAGCTGGTCTAGGGCCCTTCGGGGAGCACTGCTCACTAAGCAGTGTATCCCTCAATTGTTTGGATGTTCTCTTCTCTTTCCTCCCATAGCTTGTACCTCTGTCACAACAACTTAGCATTGCCCCCAAAATTTTTTTATTGATTTAAAAAATAATACAGAATAACTAAAAGATAAAAAAATCAATAGGAAATACTCCCACCTGTACACAAGCATTCTTAACGTTTTGGAGTAGACTATTTCCATTCATTTATCTAATAGTTATTTTTATTGTTTACTGAAATATTTCCTGCACACAGTAAAATTCACCATTTTCATATGATGCATGTTTATGTATGATCTGTGTAATCACCTCTACAAACAAGACAAAATAGTCTCACTAACCCCAAAAGCTCCCCTCCTATCCCTGTGTAATTTAACCTTTCCTCTCTCTGCTTTAAGCAGCTACTGATCAGATTTCTATTCCTATAGTCTCAACTTTTTTTTTTTTGGTTTTTCTCCGGTACTGGGAACCGAACTCACGATCTTGCACTTGCCAGGCAGGCGCTTTGCCACTGAGCTAAATCCCCAGCCCCTAGTCTCAACTTTTTAAGACTATTATATATATAGAACTACACAGTAAATAGCCTTTTTTTTTAGATCTGGCTATTCCTTTTAGCATAAATCTTTTGAGATTCATCCACATTATTCTTTTTTATTGCTGAATTGTATTCTTTTTTATATGGATATACCACAATCTGTTTATCCATTCTACAGTTCACAGATTTTTGGGTTGTTTCTAACTTTTGTCAATTATGAATAGCTCTGTTATAAATATTTTTACACAAGTTTTTGTGTCTTACAATTGGATTATTAGTCATTAGTATAAATGTATGCTAAATTTTCTAAGAAACTGCCAGACTAACTTCCAAGAGACCATTACATTTTTGCATTCTCACTAGCAATGTTTGAGAGTTCCAGTGCCTCCAACATCTTCCCAAGCATTTTGTCTTTTTTTTGTTTGTTTTGTTTTTCTTCCGGTACCAGGAATTGAACTCCCAACCTTGTGCTTGCCAGGCAGGCTCTTTGCTGCTGAGCTAAATCCCCAGGTCCACAATTTGTCTTTTCTTTTCCTTTTATAGTTGAGCCATTTGTGTGTATGTGTGTGTGTGTGTGTGTGTGTGTGTGTGTGTGTATAGTGGCATTCATTATGGTTTTAATTTCTCTAATTCTTAATGGTGTTGAACACCTTTTATATGCTTATTTGTTGTTAATACTCCTACTTTGTAAAATTTCATTTGAATCTTTTGCTCCTATTTTAATTGGGTTATCTGGTTTTTATTATTGAGTTGGAAGCATCTCTTAAGTAGTCTAGATAATGGAATGTCATGAGCACTGTATTTAACAGACATTTCTTCCCAGTTTTTTTGTTTGTCTTCATGTCTTCATTGTCTTAACAGTATCTCTCTCTCTTTTTTTTTTTTTTTTTGCACCAGGAATCAAACTCAGAACCTGGCATCTGCCAGGCAGTTAACAGTATTTCTTGAAAAGCAGTTTCTAACTGTATTGAAGAACAAAGAGAACATGTAAGCATGTGCTGTATATGAAATTTTTGTCCAGGAGACATAACAACAGCTAGGCTTAAATTTGTACTTTGTCCTTTTTCACAAATTTAGCATTTATTGGTTTCTATCCTGCTTTTTCATTATCTTAACATCAAAATTTCCACATAAAACTGGGTGTGATGGCACACATCTATAATCCCAGCACTCGGGAGGCTGAGGCAGGAGGATCACTGAAAGTTTGAGGCCAGCCTGAGCTACATAGTGAGTTTAAGGACAGCCTGAACTACATGGTAAGACCCTGTCTGAAAACACCAAAAGCAATTTTTTCCACATCATTGTTATTTGATGCTGTATACTACATAATGTATACATAGTAGAGCCTTTATGATGTATACTACATAGTATGATGTATACTACATAGTGATTTGTGATGTGTACTACATAGTATTTATGATTTATGATGTATACTACATAGTATTTATGATGTATACTACATAACAGTCTCATGGCTATATCTTAGTAAGCTATCCCTCTGTATTTGGGGGGTTTAAATTGATTAAAACTTTTAAAAATTACCATACTTGCACAGAGCCCTCTGCACACATCTCCAGTGATGTTCTCAGGACGAATGTTTGTACTTGCAAAGACTGGGACAAAGGCATAGGACTTATTTATAATCATCGCTCCCAAGAGTCCCCAGTGTCTTGAAACACAGGCATCTTGCCCTTCTTCTCGTACTGTATGACAGAGCCTGTCACACTGTAGGTGCACTGTACATACTTGAGGATTGAATAATCGGAGAGAAAAAGAATTTCGTTGAATTACATCCTCTTCCCTTCCTCTTGTGCAAGAATAAAACTTCGGTCTCTGTAGACATCTACTGCGCTTTCTCAGGTGAAGAGCAAAAGGTTTTCTTCTAAGAGAACTCTTCCCAAGGAGATGCAGGTTCCCAAAGAGCCGGGTGCTGTTGCTGCTCACACAGGCCCTGAAGGCGCCCCGCCCCCGCCCTTATAAAGCCGGGGTGCGGTGGGGCAGCTGCAGCTGGCACTCCAAAGCACCACCAGCAAGGCACTGGCACAAGCTATGGCAAATGAAGTGCAAGTCCTGCTGTCTCCGCTCAAAGGGGGGCACCCTCCTGCAGGTAGGCTCCCACTGCCCTCTGTCCTGTAGAAGCTGCAGCTGCTGACTCTCCTGTTACCAGTGCTCCGCACCCCAGCAAAGTGAGGCTCCCAGCCACCCCAGCTCACCTCAGCTTCCTGCAGCTGATTTCTTCCTATGTCTTTGATCCTCCTTAACTTGTGCATAAGCCACTGGTGGTTTGTCAGGCAGGTCCCCACTGAATTAAAACCTAATGCTGGGTGGGAGTATAGGGGACTTGGAGCGTGTGGAAAAGGATATGCAGGGAAGTTGCCCCTTCCCTCCCCAGCTGCAGTTTAGTTGTGACACAACATACCTGGATGATTTGCTACCATGGAAACCTTCCTCCCTAGAGGTTCCTGCTCCAGACTCTGTCTCCCCAAAATGCCTGCATTCATTTTGTACCTCATCTCTCTCTCCCTCCTTAGGCTTTGGGTCTGAGCAGTGTTATCAGGAATATTGTTTGCCCATCAACACTGAGAAGCACTTTTAATATAGTCCCAGGACGGGTGGGGTGCTGACTGGAAAAGGTGGCTGTTGCGATATTTTGCCAAGTATCCACAGTTGTCTTTTTTTAACATTCTCTTCATACCAACTCTTACAGAAATTAGTTTTATTGTACTTAATCATACCTTCATATAGATTGGTAGGGATGAGCAGGCCTCTTTTTAGTCAGTTTGATGTTCTTTGAACTGATTTCCTTCTTTTTTCCTTAAGAAAGACCTCAAAAATTTGGCCACTGTGTGCTTGCCTTTCTCCATGTACAAAATTTAGTTGCTGGTGTGTGATTCTTTGGCATGTCTAAGCCCAGGTTATTTCAAATACCTTGGCCACAGAGAGGGATGGCAAGTGAGGGCAGATGTAACCTTCACAAAGGGTCAAACCTGACAGGATTTCCGTATTTCCTGGTGGGCCGCCCAGCGAAAGAGCAGATTTGAACTCAATCTGGGTTTCCAGTTTTAGACACTGTGCCTTGCCTCCTTGGAAGGCTACAGATAATTTACACATGTAACTGGATTTAGCAGTAGTTAACATTATATTTAAAGGTAATGATGCTAATTAATTGTCAGGAGCTACGCATGCAAATTATTGAAAGAGAAGTTCATTATATAAGATGAAAGAGAAAAAAAAAGACTCTGTTCTCTTCCAGCCACTTCTAGCTCATCTTTCTTAAAATGGTTAAGCTACAGCCTGATTTGCTAAACTACATTTATGCGCAAAGAATACTGAGATAGACTTAACCAAATGAAACCACCAGGAATTTTCTGTCCCCGCCACTAATGATTGCTAATTACTCTGTGTACATAGCACACCATGACTCCATCAAGCATGTCACAATGCCTCTGGCATGACAATTAATTATTACAAACTGTGACACTACAGATAAGAGGTTTTGGATAATTAGAATGGAGATGAAGGCAGACTTTTGCCTCCCCACTGAGCTCAAGAGAACAAAGAAGCCTCATTCTTCAGATGGTCTCACTACATATTTTAGGTCTGGATAGTTTGCGATGGATAGTGCAAAGTTTTATTTATGGGGCAAAAATAACTAGGTGCCAATATTCTATGAAAGCTTCACCTGATTTTGGTAGGAAAAATGCAGATCCCTGAAAGTGGGAAGCCAGTGACAGAGGATGGAGAAAGCATAACACGGTTTTTAGAATCAGACAGACTGGCTTAAAACTTTGATTTCATTCCACATCTCTCAGCCTCAATTTTCTCTTCGTGGAAGGAGGGGTTGAGAAATACCACTAATCTGTAAGGTACCCTTAGTATGATAATTAAGGAAGTAGCTGTGAAGTACCTGGCACATGAATGTGGACCCCTTTAACAGCAGGTCTAGGGGGCTGGGGATTTAGCTCAGCGGCAAAAGCGCTTGCCTGGCAAGCGCAAGGTCGTGAGTTCGGTTCCCGGTACCGGAGAAAAACCAAAAACCAAAAAAAAAAAAAAAAAAAAAAAAACAGCAGGTCTAGTAAAACACACTGCAGTCAGCAGAAATTGTCCTCCCCAATTCCAAGATACCCTGATGTTGGACCTGTAGTAGGCACAACTGCAGTCCTCAGAACTGAAAGAAATTGCAGTGGAAAAGATACTCATGCCCACTCCACCATAATTAAAAATGAAGCCGCTCAGAAGTCAGCCAGCTGTAACCCTCTCCGCTAAGTGTAGGGTGTTTAGCAGTTTTCCTTTCATGTATATTAATATAATATATTACACCTGGTTATACATTTGTGCTGTGAAACAAGACCACATTAAACATGAGGTGGGCTCTAGGAAGCATAGCTTTAAATTTTCTGCTTTGTTGATTTGTCCCACTCTTAGTTTTATAAGAACGCCTTCCGTGACCAGTAGTACCGAAAACATACGAGTAGAGAAGCGATCCACGTGCCAAATACGGGATGGACAGAAAGCAGAGCCACTGTTCACGAGCTTTTCTACATTCACTGCACTTTTTAATTTGGTTTAAACCAAGTCAGTCAGATCCATGAGAAGGGCCACCACTGAATACCTAGAGGAGTTTTACAGTTTACTAAAGGAAGAGGGGGATTTGGAGGGAGTGGGCATCACTAAGTGCAAAATGAATGCAGAACCTGAGAACGACCATAGCTGTACAAGAACCGGCGTCACTGAAAGCAGAACAGAAGAAAGGCCTGACTCTCAGTTCCATCTGCTCGGCTGAGGTGGACAGATTGTGGGTTTAGAACAGAAGGGTTGAAGGACATTGCGGGGACATGGCCGGCCTGATGCCTGCAAACAGCTGCCATTTGCTCAAAGCTGACTGCACACCTGGACAGCACAGAAACTTTTTGACCTGGTGGCAGTCTTGATCCTAATCTATGATTAGTTTGATGTTTCACAGAGCAGTAAACTGAAACTCAGCGAGGTTCGGGAGCTTGCCCAAAGCCACACAGCCAGGACAGTGGAGCTGAGGCTGGAGAATGAAGTTTGGCCTCATGCCCAAACCCTCCTGCTCTACAGCCCTCTCTCTTTGTTCCACAACCTTTTCTTTATGAAGGTCTTGAGGTCTTGATTGGCAAGCAAAATTTTGCATATACATCAACTGTGTATGCACAGTAAGCATTTTGAACACGTCTAACTTCCAATTAGTCTTCAAATAGAAGTTCTTAGTCATGAGGCAGAGTCTGCACAAACTGTGTCTTTCCACCTTTTCACACACATTCTGCACAGAGTGGTGAAGGAAAAGGCCAACTTTTCCGTGCTGGCTTGTTTTTGTCCTGGCTCCTGTCTACCAAAACTTGGGGAAAATGTCTGAAACATCTTAACTGGATGGAAAACTATTATATAGAATGCAAAACTATAAGGACTGTTTCGAAACAGTTAAAAGCCACAAAATCTGCCACAAGAGTTTAACTCTTACATAGAGGCAGGAAAACAAAACTTCAAGTTCCCCACATAAACTTAGATTTTTGTTTTGTTTTGTTTTGTTTTTTTCTGGTACCAGGAATCGAACTCATGACCTTGCACCTGCCAGGCAGGCGCTATGCTGCTAAGCTAAATCCCCAGCCCCTAAACTTAGATTTTCTAACAAAACAATCCAAAACAGCATCTTTCTTACATTTCTGTCTCTAGTTCATTTTTAAATTTTACTTACTGAAAGGAGCTGAAGTCTTACCTTAAGTATTCATACTCACATTTGTACTTAAGAGCCAATTTTACTTTGCTCAGTTGGTCTTTTTGTTTTGTTTTGGTTTGGTTTTTTGGGTTTTTTTTGTTTTTTTTCTGGTACTGGGAATCAAACTCACGACCTCGTGCTTGCCAGGCAGGCGCTGTGCCGCTGAGCTAAATCCCCAGCCCCTCTACAAAGGTTCAAAAGTCAATTCAGTCCAGATAGAGTTATGGAAATGATTAGAAATTTACATGGATTGATTTGCATGCAATGAGACCTTAAAAAGATCCCTTGACTCAGACTTACCTGGTGTAAAGCAAAATGGTCTAGAACATGGCTGCACTGGGGTGTGAATGATGGTTTGTCTATGTCCAGTGTTCCCCGCGGAGCTTTGACGCTCACCCTCAGCTTTGATGCTCACCCTCCCACAAACTGGTTCCATCTGGTTCGGTCACCCCGTGTGGTGCAAGCCTTAATCTATATTTCAGTGCACTCGTCTGTGTATGGGGATACTGCTTTCTGTTTCTTTCTACCTTGCCTGGGTGACATTGCATAAGAATGAGATTATCGCCAGACATAGTGGTGCAGGCCCATAATCCCAGCACTTGGGAGGCTGAGACGGGAGGATTGTTGCAAGTTCAAGACCAGCCTGGGCTACAAAGTAAGTTTGAGACCAGCCTGAGCTGCATAGCGAGACTCTGTCTCAAAAAGACCAAAAAAAAGAAAACAAGAAAAAAAGAGTGAGATTACTTCCCAGAACAAAGTTGGCATAAGAGCTGTGTTCGGGAAATCCAAGATGTGATTTCCTTATGTTTTCTAATCCCTGAGTTAGCAGCTACACCCCTGTAACAGAAAGGACTCAAAGACTGCTGAATGGAAGGAAAAATCTTTTTAATACATCCCCCAATATCTGTTTCATTGTTCTTAAAAACAAAGGACTCACCTGCCCTTGATGGCACATGCTTGTAATTCTAGCACTCTGGGGACAGCATTCTGAGGCAGGAGGATCAAAACTTCAAGCCCAACCTGGGCAATTTAGCAACCTTTAGAGACCCTGTCTCAAAATTTAACAAAAATTTAAAAAGGGGCCTGGGGATGTAGCTCAGCGAGAAGGACCCAGATACAACCCCCAGCACCACAAAGAATGAGGGGGGAGTTGGAGAGAAAGACCTCTTATATTTGTGGATGGTCATTTTATGTCTTTTGGCATTTATTTTTCTGTTAGGTGCCCTATGCTGTTTTTGAAGGAGAAAAGTGATGGATTTTCTTTTGGAGGTAGATTAGAAGAATTAGAATCCCAGTAAGGACTTTAAAATAAAGATTATTTATTGGCTAGGCATGGTGGTGCACACCAGTAAGGGAGTTGAGGCAGGGAG